TTTATTTATTTATTTATTTGTATGTGGCCAGCTCAGCCCACCAGGGGGCAGGCGGGCTGGCATGTGGTGCTGGGGGATTGAACAGAGGTCCCTGTGCCTTGCTTGGCTTAGCTTGTTCTAAGTAGGTACCTTAGACCACTGAGCCATCTCACCAGCCCACCAGCACCCTTTCTTACTCTGCCCAGAGCTGTAGACCCCAGGCTTCTTTGTGACCAACATGTTTTTACCTTTATCTGCTTATCAGTCATTTCAGGATTCTATAAAGCTATTACATTCCTACCTTAAGGAAAATGAGCTCTTCCTGAGGAATTGATCAATTCTAAATTCTAGTGGTACAAATAAAGAACTAGTAATGTCACTAACAGATTCTTATACTGGGTGTTCTGAGAGGGCACAGCTTGGTGTCATCACTGATTAACCATTCTAAGCAGTAGCCCCCTCTCACCCCCCCTACTGTTCTTACCCCACACCATGAAGAGATGTTTTAAGGAGCACAGGCCTGGACCACTGTTGTTATAACCAAGTGCTGCCCATATAGTTAATAATTTCCTTTGAAATGCAAGCAACTGCATAGTTAAGTGTGCTAGCAAATTAATGGTTAACACATTTACACTGTGTTTCTTTCCTTTTCTCAGTACTAGGTGTTGAATCCAGAGCCTTTGTATGGAACTGTATTTTTATCTCTTGGTTAGGCTCAAACTTGTGACCCTCTTGCCTCAGCTTCCCAGAATGCTAGGATTGCAGAGGTGTATTATCATGCCCCCTGTGTTTTTTCTAAAATGCCTGAAGACAAGTATACTCCTCTCAAAATACAAGTAGTTGTATGCCAGCAGGGTGGTGCTCTTGAGGAAGCAAGAATTAAGGAATGTTGGGCTGGGAGATAGCTCAGTGGCATCTGCACCTGCCTGGCAATTGCAAGGTCCTGAGTTAAATCCCTGATACCAAAAATAAACAAACAAAAAAAGTCTGTGGCTAAAGACACCTATGTAATCCTTATGGACTAGCTAAGTAACCTGGGTTAACAGTGGGTTTGACTAGGGTATGCTTTAAAGAAGCTCTCTCCTTGCTTGTCTGAGGTAGGACTAAAGGCTAAAGTTTATTTCTTTTCAGGTCCTCTCCAGGAGTATCTGATTAGGCCAGCTGGTCACGACGTAGCACAGATCACTGATGTTACTGCTTGGTGTCTGGGGTTTTATTTTTTAAGTTCTTATTTATTTATTTATTTTTGGGGGGCAGAACCAGAGATTGAACTCAGGCCCTTGCACTTGCCAGGGAAATGCTTATTCTACTGAGCCATTTCCCCAGCCCTGGTGTCTGGGGTTTTAAATTCACTGTCAGTTCACACTGATAGCAGGGCCAAGTGAGCGTTTACTTGATTCTTTTTTTGTGTGTGGTGGACCTGGTATGGCATGTGGTGACGGGATCAGGGATTGAACTCTGGTCCCTAGGCTTGCCTAAATTTGCCTAAGCAGGCATTTTAGACCGCTGAACTATCTCACCAGCTCCTTGATTCTGCACAGAATGCCTGCCAAGCTGCTAGAATCCTGCCAGCAAGCCACTGACATCCATTATCAGGAAAAAACAAGCAATTCAGACAATTGCTTGTAGTTTACAAAACAAATGCACTTTACACATTTCATCAGATTACTAGATCTCTGCTTCCCTTTCATCTGTAAAATAAGGACAATACATCTGTTTCATGAGCCTGTCATAGGGATTGAGCTTACACATATGAGGCACTAGCTAACACTCGGTATTTCAAAGTACCGCACATAGCTCTACATTCTAGAAAGCACAGTGACCACAGAACCAGACTTAAGAGAATTACTTGACGTGTATTCTGCAAAGCCATCTTCTCCCAACTCCAGAATCATTCGCTGTTTCCACCTCTCCAAGTAGAAAAGCTGTTTTGCAGTCATGGTCCGCTGCAGGATCCTAGTCACACTTGGCATCGAGTTTCTTTGCAGAGGGATTTTCAAAGGAGCTGCGGGCTCCGTGCATGGTTTTAGACTCCGCTCTGGATTGAAGATAGGAAACCAGTTCCGGGGAACTCTGGCCTCATCCTGCTGAGGGGGCTTGCCTTTACTCACAGGTCCAAAGAGTAAATCATCTTCCTCCAGCAGCGATTCTGGGGTCTGGACCGGATCTCGGCATGCCAAGACCGACCTTACTACCCGGGAGTATCTGGCTTGGTCCACTTCTTCGTAAGGGTTTTTCTTCCTTGGGCCACAGGAATAAGAGGAAGTGGAGAAAGTAGCGCGGTGGGCTGCTTCCACGGAACCCCCCTTGGAACTGAGCTGCTTGCAAAGGCTCTGAAATACCTTCATCTTTCGCTGTCTTCTACTTCTTTAGTCTGTTTGCAACACGGAGTGCCTCTTAAAAGAGTTTGGGTTTCTAAGAAAACGTCAAGAGAAAAATAGTGTTAGGTGCCAACGCATGCTATTTGAATGAACAAAGGGAAAACTGCATTGGAACAACTTTGTTCTCAGAACTGTATCCAGGATCACTTCTGGACAAGTCTGGAGAGAGCTACTTCTTAAGAGTCACTCAGCAGTACCAGAACGGCCACCACTTATTAAAGAACAACTTTAGTAAGTTTTGGGATGCTCCTTTCCCTCTATCCGAAGGAAAGCGCAGCCAGGACAGGGGGCGCGGGACGAGTAAAGTTCTTGGGGTCGCACTCCGCATGGGCATTCCCTCCTCCCATCCTCCAGGCGGGTCCGTTTAAAGCCCCGTTTCAGGCGCAGATCCCGATGTCTGAGGGAACAGCGCAGGTCGGGGCTGGCCCGGCCCCCATCATGACCCCAGTTTCCCGTGGGTGTGGACATGCCAGGGACACCACGCCAGCGGCTTCCTCGGGCGGGAGTTCGGATTCGGGAAGAGATAAGAGGTCACGGTTACCACAAGGATAGTATCGGACGTCACCACGCTTTGTGTAGCTCCAGGAACGCGAACAGTCTCCGCGACCCCGTACTTTTACCGTTCCCGCGCTTTGGCTAGGCTTTAGGTCCCGCCCAAGGGGGGCAGCCCCAGCATGCACTGCGGCGCTCACGCCCTGCCACTCACTACGGGTCCGCCTCTACAGACAGACTTGCGATCTGTCGAGATCCCGCCTCTGAGGCGGAAGCGTGCGCGGGTCCTCCAAGTCGCGCGCTTTTGCTCTCGCGAGATTGTGTTACGTCAGCCTGGTCGTCACATTGGAGTCGGGTTGAGCCATAAATTAGACCCCCACGCTAGAACGCGCTCTTTCTTGAGGCACCCATGCCACTGGGGTGACTTTCGTCACACGTCGCCGTCGCAGTCCTTCGGTCGGCGGTTCCCACGTGTTGCGGAGCGAGGGTAGGCCCTGCGTTGCTTTTTTGCCCGGCTCTAAAATGGACGGCAGCGGGAACGGGCGAGGCCGCTCTAGAGGAGCGCGTGCCGCGTCGCTCGCCTGCTCCCGGGGCTTCTGGGACGGTGGCTGACCGCGTGGCAGCCGGCCGCCGTCCGGCAGGGAGGCCGGCGGGAGGCGGGGCCGCGGCCGCCCCCGAGGCCCTCGGGCGGCGGCGGCCCAGCCTCTTATTTCCTCGCACAGCCAGGCGGCCCCTGCTCGAGGCCCGCGTCGCCATGGCCGCGGTTCCCGAGTCCCTGCCGCCGCTGGAAGAGGACCGCGGCAAGGTGAGGGACGGCAGGCCCCGCGTTCCCTCCGCCCCCTGCCGTGGCCGGCTGCTTAGGGGCCCCCCTACCCCGGGCGCCCACTCCGCGTCCTGCTCCCGGGATGCCGCTCTGGCGACGGCTGGGGACCCCCCCCATCTTCCCGCTGGGGAGGGCAAGGCTCTTGAGACGTTACAGTGGTTCCCCACCCGCGCCTGGTGACCAGGCTTGGGGTAGCCGGGAGACCTCAGAATAATTAGGTACCAAAACGTGCTGGCCAGCGTGAAAGTGGACAGCCGTGTTTGTGGCACTCGATAGGACGAAACGGCAGTATCGCCCTGAGTTCAAGTCCAGTCTAAACTACGTGGCGAGGCCCTGCCAAAACCAGAAAAGTTAATACCTCCCTTGGGTCTAGTAACTGAAAGCTGAGCCTGAAATCCAGCCTCGAAATGCCCCTCCCCCCGCGCACCTTCCAGAAAAAATTCTGAGCCCAAGCAACTGGGAATACTGCATCAAGTCATACATCTCTAGTATGTTGCTTACAGCTTAGTGAAATGCTACGTGCATCGTTGTGAGAACTTTGCTTTTTTTTTTTTAATCTATTTAGTACGGGGTTTTGATACGCAGCTCAGACGCAGTAGTGATCCTCCTGTCTCGGCCTCTCCAGCGCAGGGATTACCTGTGTGTGTCACCACGACCTAGTCCTTGCGCTTAGACCACCGAGCTATCTCCCCAGCTTCAGAACCTTGAATTTTAGTAGATGTCCACACTATGTGAACTTGTGTTTTTACCTTCTTAAGACAGGATCTCTTGCTGTATAGTCCAGGCTGGCCTTGCACTCCTGTGTCAGCCACCAAGGGAGTGTCACCATGCTGGGCTCTCACCGTTGTAAAGGCCTGTATATCTATGCAATCCCTAGGCATACCACTTGTATTTTGAGTTTATTACTGATATGATAAGCTAAGGTTGCTGTTGTCAGAGACAGAGACCTCTTCGTTCTTTTTTTTTTTTTTTTTTTTTTGTTGCCGTACCAAGGATTGAACTCAGGACCCTGCACTTGCCAGGCAAGCTCTTATTCTACTGAGCTATCAACCTAGGCTCTACCTCTTCATTCTTTTTTTAAAAAATATTTTTATTTCATTTATTTGTGTGTGTGTGTGTGTGTGGCCAGTTCAACCCACCAGGGGCTGCACTTCCTGGCATGTGGTGCTGGGGGATTGAACCTAGGTCCCTGTGCTTTGCTAAGCTTGTTCTAAGTAAGTGCTTTAGACCACTGAGCCATCTCACCAGCCCTACCTCTTCATTCTTAATTGCTCCTTGCAATTTGAGCCACTAGTTTTGTATTGTGTATAGGCTGTGGGTCATAGTCTTCCATGCAGAATCGTCTTTAAAGGAAACCTAAAAATTCTAGTTGGAGCTTCAAATTTAAGAACCTAGGAGTCATGTTGAAAACTGATTTTGGAAGCCCTCTTTTTATCTTTGGATGAAGCCAGCCTTTGTTAGAAAGTAGTAAATTCTGAAGTTGTGCACTAAACAAGTGGGTTTTGTGCCAACAGGATAGAAATAAGGGCTGTGTTTGGGGATTTTTTTTTTTTTTTTCCTTCGGAGCCGGGGATTGAACTTAGGCCCCTTCGCTTGCCAGGGAAGCGCTTATTCCACTGAGCCATCTCCCCGGCCCCTTGGGGATGGTTTTGATCAACTCTTCTTTGAAAGTTCATCTGCATGTATTGGCACATGCCTGTAATCCCAGGGTTTGGAAGGCTGAGATGGGATTGCCATGAGTTGAAGATCAGCCTGAATTAGAGTGAGACTGTCTCAGAAAATAAGTTTGAGAGGCCACTGTGTTCCCTCTTGCTGGGCAGCCACCCATGGGTATGCTTCTTTTCTTAACTTCACTTGGCCCAGCTTTCTCTGCAGACCCTGATTCTTATGTTTAATAAATCTTTCCTACTTTTAATAAACTTAAATTGTCTTTTTTGTTGTTGTTGTTGAATGAAGTGAGAACTTGAGACCGAAGTTCTTTCTAAACTTATTCTTCCTAAACTGGAAGTTTGGTGGTCATTTGTGTTTTCTCCCTAGTACAGTATCTTTGTTTTTCACTTTTCAGTTTTAGGACTGAGTGCCCAGAGACCACCTTTAGTAGGTGAGAGTCACTTTTTAAAAAGTTCCATACTACCTTGATTTTGTGCAAAATGGAGAAGTGATAACTGGGCCTATCAGCTGCCTCCTGACTTAAGGGTCTAATAAAATTGTATAGTCTTACCCTCTTATCCACCACCACCCCTGTTTTGCCTAGCGTGGCTTCATTTTGCCACTGGGCCTGGTCAGATTGACACTGCGGTGGTAGGTAACAAGTTAACCAGAGTTTATGGCCATATGATACAGTGAGCTAGAGGCTGACCCTTGAGCAAACTTTCAACATGATACGGTTTTGATGGAGAACTGAGATGTTCACATTTTTGTGCTTAATATATATTCTGATCATTTGGTTTGTAATTTTCATGGGGTTAAATAATAAGGAATACAATTCTTAAAAATTTGCTGATAGGGTACTCATTTGGCAAACTAAGCAAAACTGAAAAGGAAGTTTTGAGCTGTATGTGGTGCTTATGCACTTAGGATTTTTGTTGTTTTGTTTTTTGTTTGTTTGTTTGTTTTGCGGAACCCTGGGTTGAACTCAGGCCCTTGCACTTGGCAAGCACTTACTCTACTGAGCCATCTCCCCGGCCCTTCATTTGTTTTTTGATTGATGCAAGGCCTCACTATATTGTTGAGGCTAGATGTAGTCCAGGTTGACCTTGATTCTCCTGCCTCCTGTTAAGTTTCTTTTTTTTTTTTTGTAATTGTTTCCTTTTTTTATTGAGAAACAAATATGAATGAGACAATTTCAAAGCTGATTAATAGGACAGTTTCGATAATCAATGCATTGTATGTTACCTTTTTTTTTAATTT